GCCCGCAGCCCCCTGCTAGCCCAGCCTTGGGCTTCCCACACAGCTCTGCCAGTGCCCCTCAATCCCTGCCCGCAGCCCCCTGCTAGCCCAGCCTTGGGCTTCCCACACAGCTCTGCCAGTGCCCCTCAATCCCTGCCCGCAGCCCCCTGCTAGCCCAGCCCTGAGCCCCCCCAGCTCTGCCAGTGCCCCTCAATCCTGACCCACAGCCCCCTGCTATCCCAGACTTCTTGAAATAGCAGTTATGCCAAACTGAAGGGTGATTCTGGGATAGGGAGAAATGTCCCGCCAGGACGAGAATGAAACCTACCAAGCTCCCTGATGGGTGACCAGCTGTCATACATGTGGCCAGGCCTCCAGCCCCAGCTGCTATCCCAACTCACCCTTCAGTCCCCTGCCCTCTGGCGGGGGCACCCCCCCTCTGCGCCTTACACACAGAGCGCCAGCCAGCCAGCGCCCACTGCCCACGTGAGCGGGCAGATCCAGGAGCCTGGCCAGCGCTCAGAAACGCAGCCGCCCGCCCCTCTGGCCAGCGCTCAGAATGCCCAAGGGAAGAAAGCCAGCTTGGGGCGGGCAGCTGAGCACATGGGCTTGCCCAGCTCCCGGCTCCCGAGATGCTCCCCATCCTCCCATTCCCTCCAGCCTCCCCCATGCTGCGGAGCGGCTGCCGGCTGACCGTGCTGTCAGCCCACCAGTCCTGACCCAGCGCCCAGCTCCCAACTCGTGGACCAGGCCCCCGGGAGTGGTCAGCGAGCCCGGCCCCCCTTACCACGTCATAGTGCCCGTGCTGCGCCGCCAGGTGCAGGGGGATCTGCCCCTCGTCCGACTGGACGTTCACGGCCGACCCGGCTTTCAGCACCATTTTCATGGGCTCCTTCTTGCCTTGCCAGGCAGCGTAGTGCAGGGGCCGCATCCCTGCGGGGACAGAAGGGGAACGGTCGGCTGAGCAAGAGGTGCCCCCCCAGCCAGCAACCCGGCCACAGCCCGCACGGGAGGCCTAGCTGAGTGGGTGCCTCCCGCCTCCAGCCCTGTCCAGGGAGGAACCGACAGAGCGGCTGCCCCCGGAGCCGTGCGTGGCCCCGGGCCAGGGCCAGGAGTGGAAATGACCCGCTGGGGGGGTGACACGGCAGGGAGAGGAGGGGGCACGGTAAGAGGGACAGGAGGGGGCTGCCGAGGAGACAGGTTCTGGGCAGTATCCCCCCTAGGGCTGGGGGGTGCCTAAGCTGCAGGGGGGAGCCCGAGAACTGCTCACAGCCAAGGCAGAGTCAGGCTTCCCGGCTTAATGGTGCTGCTGAGGCCTGCCCGCATGCTGGGGGTGAGGGCGCTGGCACCGGACGAGCTCTGAGCTCCCTACCCAGCCCCAGCGGTGGGGTCCCGCCAGCACACTGGCTGCCCTGCTCTGGGGCTCGGGTCTCTAGGGCATCAGGCTGGCAGCATGGAGAGCCTGTGGCCCCTGCCGGGGGCAGCCGGACGGGCACGGCCCAGGCACCACTGCTGTCCCCAGGCCAGTTACGGAGCTCCCTGGGGTCACACTGAGCTCCCAGCCCCTGGCAGGGACCCCGGCACTTGCCTTTATTGTCCTTGATGTCCACAGCGGCCTGGGCCTCCAGCAGCAGTGAGATGAGCTCCGTGTTCCCATTGAGAGCAGCGTGGTGCAGGGCCGAGAACCTGGGGAGACAAGGCACAGGGGGAGACCGTGACCTCGGGCGCAGATTAGCGCGTTAACGCCAAGAGGATGTTTCTGAGGGTGTGGGGACCCCACCACCCTCGCAGTCAGCCCCCTCCCCACGGAGCACAGGCTGGCGCGCAGGAGAACACCGCAGAGGGCGCAGCACAAACCACGCCACAGCCCAGGCCTACAACAAGAGCTGGGAGATGTGGGATTCGCCCTTTGATGCGGAACTCGATTGAGATTTCCCCCTGGGTTACAGCAGCAGGGCCCCAGCTCAGCTCAGCTGGAAGGCAGCGCTGGGTTTCTGGGGAGACCCTGGGGGGGTCCAGGGGACAGGCAGTGGGATCCCAGGAAGTCAGTGACCCAGGGAATCGCCATCACCACAGGGCAGGGAATCTGCTTTTTAACCAAACTCTCCCCCCCCGGCCCCCACCCCCGGTTTGGCACCCAATTCTCCAGCCAGGCCTGCAGTTGACTCTATGTCTTGGATCAAGAACCCACTGCGAAAACGGGACTGAAAAGCGGTGCGGCCTAGTGCACAGAGCACTGGACTGGGATCTAGGGGGCCTGGGTTCTCTTCCAAGCACCAGCCTGCTGGGTGACCTTGGGCAAAGCCCCTCATTGCTCGGTGCCTCAGTTTCCCTTTCACCCGTTGCCTGTTTGGACCATCGGGGCAGGGGCTGTGTGTTCGTGCTGCGCCCAGCACAGTGGAGGCCCCATCTGGGCTGGCCTCTAGCTGCTACTGAAATATAAACAATAAACCGGAAGGAGCAGCCAGGACCTTTCCTGGGTCCCTGACCTTTTGCTCCAGCCCCCGAGTCCTGCAGCCTCTCCGGCTACGAGACCGGGTGTGCCGGGTCGTGTGCTGTGACGCCGGACGTTGAGCTGAGCAATCCAGGCTGCAAGGGGCCACGGGCAAGGCCTTGCTCAGCCCCTCCCAGCCAGGCGCATCAGGAGAAAGCAGGACAGGCGCTGACCTACTTGCTTCTGTAAACAACCCAGAATCCTCTGCGCCACTACGATGTTCTGCTGCTGCCTGTGTCCCACAGCGCACAGCTCCTTACCCGGGAGGAGGGGTCTGGGCAACCGGCTGCCCAGGGGTGCTGCTCGCTGGAGGGGGAGTCGCGGGAAACCGTTAGCTAGAGCGCAAGGGCTGAATCCGGAGCAGGGACCGTGCAGGGAGCACCCCGGGGGCTCTGGCTGCACTAACACTAGCAGGTCCCGGCTCAGCCCCCGTGTTGCCTCGAACAGCCTGAGGGTGTTCATGGGACATGCCTGGCAGGCCCAGGGCAGGCCTAGAGAACCCAGGCTCAGCTGCGCTGTCTCCGGGAAGCGCCTTCGTTCCACGCGGGAGATTGTGTCTGTGCCCACCGTGTTCGTAGCTCTCTCTCTGCAGCCTGCAGGGCTGTGACAGGCTGTGCATACCATGCCGTGGCCACGCGAAGATCGGGGGGCGCTCTGGCTCCTCCGGAGGCTCAGGGGTTCAATCCCCCGCTACTGGCGACCCACCGAGGGGCCTGTAGGACTAATAATCCAGAGGCCACGAGAGACCCGGATAGCAACACCGGGCCGTGTCATTCACATGGGAGGCAGGTGCTGTGCCAGCCCAGCATTTGCCCAGCCACAGCAGACTGCCCTAGGGAGGGGATCGTGCCCGGCGGGGTGGGGAGGGGTTGCAGGGGAGCTGCCCACGAGGCCAATCACTAGGAAGGGGCGAAGGGAATCAAAAGGAACCAAAGCAACTCAATGGGAACCCCTGCCCGGAACCCACCCAACTCCCTGAGTGAGTTCTCCAGGGTGCCTGCCCACGCCCCCCGGTACTGCAGCTGGGCCCAGGTCTGCCTCAGTGCTCTCCCCGCCCTGCCACCCCCCAGCAGCCATTTGCTCATCCCACGCGGCTCAGGCAGGCTGCAGAGCAGCCTCGGCAGTGCTCTCATCTCTCCTGCCTCTCTGATGCAGAGCACGGCAGGCTGGGAAAGCCCACTAGGTCACGCAGCCCCCAGGGAGCCAGCCCAGGGCCCTTGCTGCCAGCAGAGCCCACAGCCAAAGGCAGGGGGAGGGGGAAGTGAAGAAGCCGGCTTTTGCAGCTATTCATTTTCTTTTCAGCTCCGGCTTCCCAGCGTCTCTGTTGGCCCTGACTGCTCCAGGCAAACCTGTGTGCGCGGCTCTCAAAGGGTTCGGAGTTACCTGGCAAAGGCAGAACAGATTGCGTCTGTTCAGCTCCCAGGGAGGAGAGAGAAACCCAATGTACCAGCTTCTGTGCTGCTGTCAGGGCAGGCCTGCCTCTCTGAGCCGCTCGCTGGCCAGCTTTCAGGGCTGGGGCTGGCCCGCTGGGCTGGGGGAGATGGGCACAACCATGGCCATGAGCTCTGTGCCGTCTGCACGAAGCCCAGACTCATGCAGAAACCACCCTTTGTCCCTAGGGAGCTCACGGCGAAGGCTTGGGGCATTTCCCTAAAGCCCCGCGGGAGATCCCAGATCCACCCGGCCTGTCGAGGGCTTTGGAGGATGGGGTGAGCGTGTCTCTGGGCCGTGGGGCTGTCCGGGGCTGTGTGTTCAGCCAGAAAAAACATTAGCTCTGAAAGGTGGTTTTGGAAACGGCTGCCCGCCCCCCCCCCCCACGGGCTCCAGCTCCCCGGCGCATGCCGCCATCCCAGGCCCCACAGCCACTGCGGGCTACCTCCCGCCAGGTCCTCCGCCCCGACGGGGCACTGCGATCTCAGAGAGGTATATGGGGGAGGAAGCAGAGAACAGGGGCAACAGGCAGCCCTGAGCACTGGCCTTCGAGCCTCTGGATTTACGTGCCCCTGCCCAGCAGCACCGCCTAGGCCCGTGTGCGCACTGCGGCCTGTGGTGCTGCCTGGCAGTGTCCGTGGGCGCGCCCTGCCCAGCAGCACTGCCTAGGACTGTGTTCGCACTGCGGCCTGTGGTGCTGCCTGGCACTGTCCATGGGCGCACCCTGCCCAGCAGCACTGCCTAGGACTGTGTTCGCACTGCGGCCTGTGGTGCTGCCTGGCACTGTCCATGGGCGCGCCCTGCCCAGCAGCACCGCCTAGGCCCGTGTGCGCACTGCGGCCTGTGGTGCTGCCTGGCACTGTCCATGGGCGCGCCCTGCCCAGCAGCGCCGCCTAGGACCGTGTGCGCACTGCGGCCTGTGGTGCTGCCTGGCACTGTCCATGGGCGCGCCCTGCCCAGCAGCACTGCCTAGGACCGTGTGTGCACTGCGGCCTGTGGTGCTGCCTGGCATTGTTCGTGGGCGCGCCCTGCCCAGCAGTGCCGCCTAGGCCCGTGTGTGCACTGCGGCCTGTGGTGCTGCCTGGCACTGTCCATGGGCACGCCCTGCCCAGCAGCGCCGCCTAGGACCGTGTGCGCACTGCGGCCTGTGGTGCTGCCTGTCACTGTCCGTAGGCACGCCCTGCCCAGCAGCACTGCCTAGGACTGTGTTCGCACTGCGGCCTGTGGTGCTGCCTGGCACTGTCCATGGGCGCACCCTGCCCAGCAGCACTGCCTAGGCCCGTGTGCACACTGCGGCCTGTGGTGCTGCCTGGCACTGTCCATGGGCGCACCCTGCCCAGCAGCACTGCCTAGGCCCGTGTGCACACTGCGGCCTGTGGTGCTGCCTGGCACTGTCCGTGGGCACGCCCTGCCCAGCAGCGCTGCCTACGCCTGCGTGATGTGGCCGAAGGTCCAGCTCGGGAGCTGCCGGGACTCCAAGGGAGCCAGCCCAGAAGCTGTTAATTGAGAGGAATCCGAGTCCTGTGGAGGCGTTTCTCTGTCCCCGCAGCCACTCAGCCTCTGCTCGGAGCGGGAACAGCAGGGCCCGGAGCAACAGGAACCATGTTTGTTCTACAGCGTAATGAGACCGAGCCAGGAGTGCGAGGGAGAGTGTCTCCTCCCCGCGCCCACGGGTCCAGAGCGCCCCCAAGCCAGCCTGGCACAGTCAGCCAGGGGCACAGCCTGGCCCTTCCCCTGGCCTGAGCTCCGGGCTCCGCACTCCCCCTTCCTTTCCATCTGGTTGCCTCTAATATCTGGGGCCCAGCATCCCCCCGCTAGCGGGGTCACTGAAGGCTGCGGGCGGAACACAGACCCCTGCCTACAAAATACCCCTGGTCCCTTTCTGATGGAGTTACTGGTGACTGTGCAGCTGGCCTCGGGCCGACTGCGAGGCCAGGCGGGTTTGCGCCGTTATTTACAGGGAACCTTTCATCTTGAAAACTGCCTCGGAGCATAGGCGCCGACTCCGTGGGTGCTCCGGGACAGGAGCACCCACGGGGGGAAATCAGTGAGTGCTCTGCACCCACCAGCAGCCAAGCTCCCCGCCCCGCCCCACCTCCTCCCCTGAGCGCACCACGTCCCTGCTCCTCCGCCTACCTCCCAGCACTTGCCCCTGCCAAACAGCTGTAGCAAGCTCCGGGAGGGAGGGGGGAGGAGCAGGAACGTGGCACGCTCAGGGGAGGAGACGGGGCCAGGGCGGGGATTTGGGGAAGGAGTCGAATAGGGGCAGGGAGGGGGTGGAGTCAGGGCGGGGACTCTGGGGAAGGGGTTAGAATGGGGGTGGGGGGTGGAGTCAGGACAGGGACTCTGGGGAAGGGGTT